CCCTTTGTTCTCTTCTCTAATAGCCTGCAGGGCCTGTCCATGGCAAGAACTGAGCTCCAGGGCCAGCCTTTCCCTAGAACAAAGCTTACCTCTTACCAATCAGGGGTACCCCAGGAGTAAAGCTAGGCCCCAGGGAAGGGATATGCCCCACTCCAGTTTGTGCCGAGCCTGTGAAGTGCAAGGCCTGCACCCCTAGGCAGGGAAGGTAGGGTGCAGGGAACGCAGGGCCTCAGCGCTCTACCCCTCTCCGGTGAAGCTCTTCTGCAATGGATGATCACCTTGACTTCGCTCTCCTGTGGGGTCCCCTAGGAAAGACATAACACTCAGGAAGCCCCAGAAAAGAGCCCACAAACTCCCAGAAGATGGCAAACTTGGAAGGTCCTCTGGGGCCTGGTGGCCACTTCCCCCACTGGTCACTGGGCACCTCCAATGGCCTAGGAATAAGCTATGGGCTCAGGTGGACCGTGTCCACCAGACTGAGCTCCCTGGCGGACAGAGACATCCACTGGTGTCACACGCACACGCACAGATGGCCTCTCTCTGCCTCCCCCGGGGCCCCTGGATCCCAACTTGTGCTGCACCAACAGGCCCCATAGTCAGTGCTGGGGTAGATGCTCTACACAGAAAACCCCTCACAACTTCCATCCCGTACAAGCACTGGAAGTAGCACCCTGATACCTACCCTCACCCCTGTCTCTGGGCCTTCTCAGGGCAGACACAGGAGCCAGGACGAGGGCAGAACAGGTAGACAGGAGAACAGAACAGGAGCTTGCCTGCAAGGAGGGAACTGCAGTAGCTTGGCCTCACACTGGCCCCACTGCAGCCCCTCCCAGAGAGGTGCTAAAGTTCCCTGCAATGGAAGAGAGGACGTGAAGCATCCTTATGTCCCTCTCCTCTGCCCCCTGCACCCCTACATAGTGATTTCATTTTTGAAATCTCACATGAAAATGTGGCAGGTACCCCTGTCCTCAGAACCCCTCGGGTCCTCACCATCAGATTCCCTGAGGGTCTGGGATGATCCAACAGATGCCTTTCCTGTTCACAAGTGGGACCATTCTCAGCAGGTGAGATCTGCAGGTGGGGAGGCAGCTGGAATGGAGGTACATGGACCTTCGGGACCCTTTATGGGGACAAGCTAGGGATGCAGAACCAGAACATCAGCCCCAGGCCCTGCTGCCTTTACAGCCACACACTCTTTGACTTCCTCCTCCGTTCCGCAGTTCCATGGGACTCAAGGACCTCAGGGTCTCTGAGGACGCTGCAGGAAGGGAAGGCAGCACCTGGAAGGCTGAGGGCTGCTCCTTCCACTCCACTTCCTGCACCACCACACTCCCTTCCTAAGATGGACACACCCACCTGTCCACAGGAAGCTTGTAAAGACCACACTACATCAGATATGACAGCTGGTTCTCAGTGAGTGACCGCTGATGTCATGGCCGAGGGCCTTGTGAGTACTCAGGGAATGAATGAGGACAAGAGGGGTGTGTCACAAAGCGAGAGAAGGGTGGGGCTCCAGCCAGGCATCCAGCATCCTTCCTGAGAATGTGCTGGAAAACAGCAAAAAGGGAACCACCTAGAGCCCAGCGCTACTCTAGCCATGCCCATGTTCTCAGCAGCCTCTGGTAGGCACTGTCACTGTCCCAGGGGCAGCCCGCTGGCTATGAGTGATTCTGGAACAGCTGCCTGCGGCCAAACTCCAGCTCTGCTCCTCAGGCGCTGTGCAGCCTCCAGTGAGCTGCTTCCTGGCTGCCAGCCTCCATCCTCTCATGTATGAATGAGGTTAATGATACCTGTGTCCGTGAGCCCCCAGGTTGTTGCCAGGGCCACACCAAGATGACACACGGGTAGAACACGCACCCAGTGAATGTCCACAGAGAGACTGAATGTCCGGGTGGTAGCTGTGCACTTTCAAAGTGCTCTAGGTTGGAGGCTGCTGACACCCAGGGAATGCCCTGGCACTGAGTACCCAGAACAGGGCAGCAGGGACTGGCCAACCACACCAGGGGTACTGTGCACACTGCAGACATGGCTTCTGTGCCCAGCCAGCCCACCACATGCTGTGCGGGAAGGGCATCATGAACCCCAACTGCAAGGGGACAAGGACCCAGTTTAAAACTATAACTACTCCAGTGACAAAGTGCACGACTGACCGGGTGTGCTACTGCTCAATGAGAAGAAAATGAAAACAACATGCAGTGCACACAGCCAAACATCCAACCACACCCATCCCATCAGCCAGTCTCCAGCCCCACACATGGTCTCACACTCACCCACACAACCTCACAACCTCAGAAAAGCCGACCACGCACTCCAAACACACACAGCCAACTGCACACACCCACAGCCGCAGCCTCAAGCGCTGCACGCTCGTCACACACAGGCACACCTACCATCTCCAAGCAGCGCAGCACTCCACCTTACCCACAATGCCCAGTCCACACCTCTGGTGGCCTGCCCACACCATCCCTGCACACGCGCACTGGGAGCACTACCCTTGCGCACCACACCTGCACACGCACAGCCCCTGCAGTATGTAGGACCTTGCCTCACCACTCACAACCCCAATGGTGGCCTGTCTTGGGCTCCAAGCGTCCCATGAAAAGCCCAGCAGCCCATTGGGCAGCACCCATGGCCTCTGCCCACAGAAACGGGTTTTGTTTCTTCTGCTTTGCCTGGAAAGGCATGCTTTCCTCAGCCCACAGCAGTTTCTGTGGTTTGGTGGCAGCCTGTGACCTTCATGTCAACACACATATACAATCCCTGCCTCCTGTGACTCTGGTTCCTCCCAAGACCAAACCCCACAGAGTTCTCCAAGGTCAAAGGCATAATACCCAGGAAGCCATTCGGGAATTCCTAGCAATGGTGTCCAGCAGGGCTTTGCAGAGGGCCTGACAGGTGTGGCCCAGGCCACCTGACTTCCAGGTGGGTCAGGCCTACTGAGCCCCTCAGTGCTAGACCTACTGAGTCCCTCCCCTAGGACCTTCCTGGCACCTTGGCAGGGCCCTGGTGACCTTGTCACGTCATGTATTGGGGAGCAGGGACACAGTTTGACATATCAGAGTCCCTACTAAGTGCTGCCCCACAAGGTGCCCAGGTGCCCATCCTGGCCAAGCCTTGAGAGGGCTAGGAGAGCAACACAAGCCAAGGAGGTCCTCAGCTCTGGTCCTGGCCCTTAGTCTTCCTGCCTAGGACATGCAGAAGAGATCAGTGTATGCATTCCCTTCCCCTGGGACCCCCAAAATCAGGCCTGGAGCTCCATCAAGTTGCTGCAAACTTGGGAGCTCCATATGGGGACCTTCAGGCACTGCAGGGGACTGGGGGAAGCATTAAGGGATCAGGGACAGTGCCTTTGTGGCTCTGCCCATCCCACTGGACCCAGCATGACTGGTAATGGCCTGTAAGCCAGGAGAAAAACGGGGGATGGCGGGGAGAAGGAGGGAGGGATGTCTTCAAATCTGGTGCGGGAGAATTCAGCGAGTAGCTCTGGGCCTGCCTAGGTGGGGAGGGCTTCCTGCTCTCTGGTCCTGGCAGGGTGGGCTCAAGGGAACTCTTCAGGGAGACATAACCCCTTGGAACAGAAGAGAAAATGGAAAGAAGGCAACAGAAAGACAGTACCGAGTGTTGTGTGAGGAAAGGACAAAGGAAGTGATGATCACACCAGGTGGCCCCATGAGAGGGATTCCCACAGAGACACATGCCAGCAAGTGGCAGCAGGAAGCCACTCAGGGACAATGTCTGCCAGGCCCCCTTCCTCAGGAGTCCTCCCTTGAGCTCCTGCTGCACTCACAGGACCAGCCTGGGAAGCCCAGACCTGCGAGAGACACCCACAAGTGCTCAATACCCAAAGAGCAGAGGGCCCTGTGCTCACACTCCCCCCTCCTGGCTTCCCCCCACAGAAGGAATCCTAGGGTGGAATGACACACGAGGGGAATGAGGGTGTGGAACCTTCATAGCGGGGGCCCAGCACACAGGGTCAGGGCACACTCCCCCAAATGGCAATGCCAGCCCTGACATTATGACATTTTCATTTTTGCCCTGTGAAGTTTATACTGACTCACAGCTTTGCAGATTGACACAATCCCCCAGGACCAGTGCAGACACTGTGTGGCAGAGCAAGAAAGAGAGAAACACAGGGGCAGAAGAGGGCTCCCTGCTACCAGCTGGCTATTTGAATCAAGATTCCCCTGTAGCTGTCTGGCCTCCTTCAGTTCCCCATTGTTAGTTTAATGGGGTTAGAGAATCCCAACTATTCTGAGATTTTTCTGGGAAAACCACAAGAGATGCAGACCCAGATCGGTGCCCCATTGGGCCTGTACAGCATGAGATAAAGGCAGGACACAGGACTGCTGTCCTCTTAGTCCTCTTAGGCAAGCAGGTAGGTTGGCCATGGCCCCAGGGCTCTCCAGGCTTCTGGTCCCAACCTTTGGAAATAAGGTGTCTGGTGCAGGAGCTGCAGGAAACAGGACTGCGGTCTCTCCCCAAGCTTCCAAGTGGCAGCTGAGCTGTTACCACCATCGCCACCACTTTCCACCAGCTCAAGCCCGCACAGGAAAGGATGATTAGGGCACTGACAGCCTCTCTGTTCATCCTCTCTCTCAAGGTGGGAGGCTTCTTCTGGTTCCCCATCACTTGGATCGGCACCTGGAGGTGGGCAGAGGTCAGGGGGCTTCCCCAGACAGGCATCCATTTGCTTCCAGGGATGGGGACTTTCAAATGGTAATAGACGCAGCCTCGGTGGAGCATAATTAGTCTCGGGACTAGAAGGGTAAGCAAATGTGTAATTCATGAATTTGCTAATTGTCCTTCATTTTGATCTTCTGCCATCTTTCCTGGCTTCTGAGTGACACAGTCCCATGGCAAGGACTCAGAGAGTGCGGAGAGTGGGCTGCGGCGCTGCTGGCATGGGAGCTGGACACCGGGGCTGACCCTCCTCCCAGCTGCCCACCTCCAGGGCAGGCCCACCGCCCCAGACAGCACACAAGGCAGGAAACCTGTGGCACTCAATCTTTTATTTTCTTAAACTGTACACAGACGCAAAATACTTTAACAGCCAGTCTATGGGGAAACTGTTTGGTTTTAAATTATTATGAAACAGAACCTAAGGGGAGCTTTATTAAATAAACATAAAGATGAGGATTTAAGGATACACACCTGAATTCTACCACAGTCATTTTTACTCTACCTTCTGGGTGTGTAAGGATAGAAAAGACATATCAAACTGAATAAACAAAATCCATTTATACCCTGAAACATTGGCAGGCCACTCAAAGGATTGTTCAGAACGTTTGCCTCAGGTAAGATGGCCTCACCATCTAATAAAAATTAAAACTGATCTGTTGGCCTCTTTGGTTCCAAAATTATGTATAATACATTTAACTGTATTCTTTTTTTGCTGCTATAAAAATAACTTCTTTTTTCAAATGGCAGTTTCTGACTAATCATGCAACTAAATCAGTGCAAACATTAAAAGCAATCATTCGCTTAAAAAAGAAGCAAAGGATTTCATTTCAAGTATAAAAAATATAAAAAGAGTTGTTGGAGTCCAGTTTCATCTAGTGTGGGTCAACCCTTTAAATTGCATAGTTCACGTGGCACTTGGACGTGTACGGGGAAAGTCAGCTCAGCACTGTTCCCACGGCCACTTCTGGACACACGCAGATCGGCAAGTGCTACAGCGTGTGTGTTCAGGCGGGTCTGCAAGTGCAATGCGGGGCGGGCGGGCGGGCAGGTGGGTAGGCAGGGGCCATGTCCACAGCCAGCTCTGCTGGCCGGGGCCCACCCACACGGCAACTTCTGCAAAGCAGCTGCGAGCCTCCCTCCTCTCCAAGACCAGCCGAGCAGCTCTCCATTCTCACCCTGCGTTGGGGAAACCCCTACCTGTATTTCCAGAATGCCCCTACGGCCACCATCACCTCCTCTGGGCTCATCCCTCTGACTAGTGATTATCCTCCCCCCCCCCAGCAGCCCTAGAGGAATGTCCCCAGCAAAGGGCACAGATTGCAACTTTTTTCTTCTCATTTAGAACAATTGTGGTTTTCACTTAAAAGTGATAACTGACAAATAAGTCTCTTCAGTTCTACAGCTGGCACGGATGACCTGTCAGCTGCTGGAGATCAGTTAAAGCATCAAATTGAGACCCCTCTTCTCTCCCTCCCTCCCCATCACACACACACACACACACACACACACACACACACACACTCACATCAGGGACCCAGTGACTGTCAAACAGTCATTGCCCCTTGCCATGGTCTGACAGGCGGTGTCCTTCCTGGGCCACTTTCCCTCTCCAAGAGTGTGGAAGGACCGCTCCCCTGTTCTTGCAGCACAGAGAATGCCAGGTGGGAAGGAAGCAAACATGTTTCCAGCAGGAGCTGAGGCAGTGCGCAGGCCCAGGACTGGTCAAGGGGACGCAGGGCGCACAGCCCTCTGCCTGGCTACACACGCCCCATCCTGCTTTTCTTCTCAGTGGCGCTTTCTCCTCTCTCCCTCCCTCCCTCTCTCCTCTCGCTTTTGCTTTCCTTCTCTCAGTGTCTCTGTCTTTGTGCTTTTATGTGTGCTCAGAAGGCGCAATTCAGAGTAGCTGGGCCAGCTGGTGGGAATGAGGGCTGCTCACCCCATTCTCTGCCACTGATGGGCATTGGTAGCTAAGCTGCCATTTGTCGCCGCATCCACTTGCTGGTATCCTGGAGGCTGCTGTGTGGGTGGCAGGATGCGTCTGGCTGTGCGTGTCTACGTGTGCATTTGAAAGTCTCGTGTCAGTTGAGGGCTCGCCCTCTGGTTTTGACTGGTTGCTCTACAGAGCAGCAGAAAATGCTTTGGGGCCCACCCTGACTCTCTCTGCAGCCCGATGGAGTGAGCATGCTCAGCCACTGTGCACCTCATGCCCCCATGGGGGGCTCTGTCCCAAGCACTACTGCCGCCACGCCCCTGCCTGCCACCGTCAGGCACAGCCACACTCCTCCACAATCATGTTGGGCACATCGCGCTTGACGATGTTGTACTCGTCATCAAAGTAGAGCATGGACATGGAACTCAGCTTAGTGGGGATGCAGCAAGAGTTCACAGGGCCAGGGTTCAAGCCCCGCATGCGGTACTGGTTCACCACCGCCGTGTGGAAGGAGGAGGCAGAGCCTGGGACCCCTGCCAGGTAGGCTGGGCAGCTGCCCTCGCAGTAGTTCCCATAGTAGCCAGTCGGTGCAATGATCCAGTCATTCCAGCCAATGAGCCGGAAGTCAATGAAGAACTGTTGCCTGCAACAGAGGTTGGTCCGGCCATCGCACTCCAGGCCTCGCTTGCGAATGCGGTGCCTGCTGTCCCCCAGCCGGGCCTGCACCACCACAAAGGGCCGGTGTGACTCCTCGCCTGGGTCCACAAACACCGGCACCACGGCCAGCTCCTGGCAGCTGTCACACTGCACGTCTAGGTTGAGCCTCCGCTCACCTCGCTCAAACAGGGCCTGGATGGCCTCTGTGAGCGGGAAGGTGTGCCAGCCACTGCGCTTGAGGTCCACTTTCTTTTCCACCACATTCCATCTGTCTCCGTGGCCCTGTTCCTGGAAGTACACTTTGACCCGCACCTTCCGTCGGCTGCCTTTCTCCAGGACATAGGGCAGGAGTTTCAGATAAAGCCACAGGCTGGCCTGCACCACAAACAGGTTCTGGTTGCCTTCATTGGAGATGAAGAAATACAGGCGGACACGGGAAGAGGCCAGGCCATCTGCAGGGAAGGGGGAGAACGGGCTGAGTTAACTTCAGCAGAACACGAGGCAACAGGGAAATGCACTCTGCCGCCTGGTGCAGAACACACACTTTCTACACAGCTGGAAGATGTTACTGACCAGAAATACCATTCCTGGGGCCCAGACCTCTGCCTATAACCTGGGAGAGGTGGAGAACATCATTTCCCGTTGAGAAACCCAGACCAGGTCAGAGCTGGAGGGCCTGGGCCTATGAAACCTTGCCTCACCTCTCCCAGCCCAGGGTGCCCTTGAGACTGGCTGTCAGGCCTCAAAGCTCAACAGAGGAACTTGTCAGGAGGCCAAGATCTTAACAAGTTGTTATGGGTATCTGTGAAATCTGGAAAACAAAACCAGGATGAAAGAGAAGGTTTGGGGGTAGGTTGTTTTAAGCAGGGCCTTTTTTTTTTTTTCTTCTTCTTCTTCTTCTTCTTTTTGGTGAACTTAGGGCATTGCAAAATCCAACTGAGCCACCTACCTCCTCTTCCAGTGTTTACCTAAGCATGATCTGATCCAACCCCCCTGCAAACAAGCAAGCTCTGCTCAGATTTCTGACATAGGAACGTGTGCTCTGCAGACTGCAAAGTGCAGCCCTTATTTCCAAGTAGTTCCAGGGGACAGGATATTCAGCCTTGAAACTTGAGAACAAATTCTTTGAGAAGACCTAGCTCCCTATTCATGGCATGTTCAAAATCTCCAAGGAAAAGGGGGTTAGTCTGATATTTTTCCGGATAATTCAGCTCAACAAGAAGCTCAGCCATCCCAGCCCACCCTACATGTCCAGGCCCCTTCCCTCTGACAGTCTACTTTTTTATTTTCCAGGATAAGGCAACTCTGTGGACACAGCTCGTTTCATCAAACCTTCCACCATAGCTGCCCTAGCCCTCTCCTCAGGCTCTGCCTGCTCCTCTAATAACACTGACATCTGACTTCGAAATGGGGGAAACTGCAGCCTTAAAAGCTGGTCTTGGACAAGCTGCCTGTGACCTGAATCTGTTATTTATAAGTCAAAGAGCTGGCTCCGTGAAATGGACCAGAAATATAACAGCCCCCGCTGTCATTTTGTGCCACCAGGACCAAAAGGCCTCCTCGACCTTTCCGAATCACATTTCTACCCTGGGCCCCAAAGCACCTTTTAATCCAAGCCCTCTAATTGCATGTCGAGCTTTCCTTGACTCTGGCGGACAGCGAAAACGGCAATGCATTTCTTTCTAAGCACAAACCAACCCTGATTGTCTGCTTTTCTCCACACCCGGCCATGCAAAACTTTTCATCCCTTTTCATCCCCAGGAGCCACCAGAACGGTCTTCCTGCTGCCTAGAGAGGGGGGATTTGGAGCCAGGAGCACAACCAATCCCCCCTCCTCTCACAGACCCCCTGCCTGCCCCCCTTCACTGCACCAGAGAGAGTCCCCCTCTCCGACCTTCTCTGCAGTCCCCTCTGCACAAATGCAGCCGAGCTCCAGGCACAAAAGCCAGCCTGGCTCATTCAAGTCCTGAAAAGGACAGCGGAGTCAAAAGCACTTGCAGCATTTCAGCGCGGGCACATTTTCCTCCTCATTTTAAACTTCTCAAAGATTTTTCTCCTCCTGATTTTTACATTTCGACAGCGGTAGGGAGTTGCAATCTGGGGCCAGGGGAAAATTCCAGAAGAGTCCTACCCTTTGTTAACTACCAACTCTGCGGCTCCACCGACCAGAGGGCTGTCGCGGCTGCCAGGAAAGAGGAAAGGCACGGGGATGTCCCCTAAGCCGCGTCTTTCTCTGCTTAAATGATGGACCTGTTGAGAAGCCTGCCTTCCGCCCGATTCTGGTGCCCACACAATCGGAAGAGAGGTTGCCTAGCTCTCCCCGGAGAGGCTTCAGCAATCCTGGCAAGCCCACGCCGCCCGGCAATGGAAGCAGCCCCCGGGGGCCTCTCAGGCAGGCGCGTGCTCGTGTGCGCGCTCACACACGCGCGCGCGCGTACACACACACACACACACACACACTCCTCCAGCCCACGTATATCAACAAGCACACACATCTCCATCCACACTGCTAAGCCTACACTCCGATCGTGGGAAACAAAAACATTAAGCAATCACCAAGCAAGTGCCCGCAGAGCCAGGGCCGCGCATCTGCCAGGAGAGGGACGTGCGCCCAGAGGCGCTGGGGCCCAATTCCCGAGAGTAGGGGTGGAGGGCAGGGCTCACTGCAGCGGGGATGGGGAGCAGAAAAAGGTCCGCGGCCTGGGGAAATGGACTACAACCTAGGCGGGCCCCGCCACGCCGTAAAAGCCCGGCCTGGAGTCCAGGTTGTCCCCGGGGCGTGCGGGATGCGGCGGACGCGGCGGCCGGGCGAAGCTGGCAAAGACAGGGAGCGAGAGAGGGAGGGAGGAAAGGAGGGAGGGCGCACGGACCGCTTAGCCGCCGGAAGGCCGGACCCACCTGTCTCCGCAAAGCTGATGATTTCCGAGACGCGCTCCTGGCCGTCGGCGCCCGGGCTGGCGTGGCCGTCGAGGTGCGGGATCTCCACGCGGCCGTCCTCGCGCACCTTGCCCGCGTGCAGCTTGCGCAGAGCTGTGACCATGGCGGCCTTGGGCACGGCGTGCGTGATGTTGGGACGACCCCGCAACTGCAGGCGGTTCAAGATGTGCCGCTTCACCGCCTCCAGGAAGTCGCCGTCCACCCGGCCCAGCTCCTCCGGCCGCCGGAAGCCGCCGCACGACGTACAGGTGTCCTGGAAGCCGCCCGGAGC